TAACCTGATCAGTTCGCTTGCCATGCTTCGTGCTCCCCGAGGGAGCATACACCACCTCCCACTTGGCAGCCCAAAAGAGACCGTCTCCACATAGTGGTATCCACCACATGTAGTTCTCCACCTTGTGTTGCAGGCTGTCTCGGTGCAAGTACACCCCTGGACAGCCTGCCAGAAACCTGTCACCCTTCGACTCATCGATGCTCGGCAGGAGCTGTCCATGGTAAATGATGGAGTAGAGTGCCTCCATCTTGCATCCGTGCCAGCCACGTTGCCAACCACCCTGACACAGCGACTCGCAGTGCGAGGTTCCCAGCGGAATCCACGGGACACGCCACCAACCATCGGGTTGCGGGGCCGGGTCTCCAAGTAGGGTTGCAAGGGATGTGCCGTCTGGGCCTTTTCGTGTCCTGAAGAAGCTCTTGAGAAAACGTTCCACGTCCAAGGTGCAGGCAGGAGCGCTTGGCGGTTGTGGTAGCTGAGACCTGGCTTTGGCTCCCCAGAGCAGTACCCGGTCTGGTGTGGCAGGTAAAGCATGATCGGCCAAGTTCCACTCGTAAGGGCCACCAGAAGATTGAGGATCAAAGTCCGGAGCTGGCTTCCTCTCTGCGGTTGGCATCCCTTTGGCTGTAGTAGAGCCTGACGACTGGACCTCAAAGCTCAAAGTTCTCGGCCAGGCATCAGTGGTAGGATGCACTCGCACCCGCTTGGAAGAAGGTGGACTAGGAGTGCGCGGCTGAGGTCGGCGTGTTTTTCCCAGGGTGCCTCAAGCGAAGCATCTGCCAGCGGGGGATGGACATAGTGGCCAGCTGGACTCCGTTTGGGTGCCGCAGGGGGCACCATTGTCGCCAAGGCCTGATAGCCAAGAAGGTAACGTGCGCTGAAGATGGTTAATGGTGGGGGTGCACATCTCCACCTCAGACTCGGCTCCATTCCATCACACATGGAAGCTTGTGTAGCCTCCGACCCCAATCGGGGAACAAGGTGTTCCCTGTCGATCGTGTAGATACGACGCTGTTCAGCTCGAGGTCCTTGTATCAGCCGCACGTTCCTGGTAGTGTTTTGATCGCACTCCAAGGTAGGAAGCACGATCGCCCGGCGGCCTATAAGGTGCTGTCTGTGGCCATCAGTCACCTCCACTTCTGTCCCGACTGTAAGCGGAGTAAGTGCCGCCTGCCAGTTCGGCCAGCTATGCTCAGAGGTTGGCTCCATCATCCCTCGAAAGGCACAGACGGGGCACTTTAGCACAGGGTGGCCAAGCAAGGTTAGAAGCTTAGGTGGAGAGGTCACTCGCGTGCAATCTGCAAGAGGCCTCGCAACCCTAAGGAAGGCAGTTGTACTTGCAGAAGTAGGGGTAGGCAGGTGATGCACCACATAATCTTCCAGGGTCTTCAGTGATGCTCGGAATTGAAAGAGCTGCAGGCACTCACGGCTGCCGCATGGCGGGGCTTCGGTGTGCACACAAAGACACTGCAGAGTTGCATTCTGGCTGGACGCAAGATTCAGCAACGAGGCTGAGGCCCAAACTGTGGCACGGTGGTGGGCAAAGAGAACACCGGAGTGGTCGTCTCGGGTAATTTGATACCTGTGGCGAGAAACTTGAGGCAGGGAGGCTCCGATATCAAGTGAAAGAAGTCGCTGACCTGGAGCCTTCTCAATGCCGTCATGGTCCGCCATGGAAACAGCCTGAGCAGTGTAAGTATCGCATGTGACTGTCCACCGTGATAGCAAGGGCATCTGCCATGAGTGCGTCAGGTCTGGTGTAATGACATGCTCAGCACAACTTTTGTTGATCCATCCCAAAGGGCTGCTTGGCACGAATTGACATGTCAGCTTACAGGAAGAGACGGCAGAGGATCGGCGACTGCCTTGTGCGCCAGTGTCGGCGCCCACTCTGCAGAAAGACTTCTCCAGCTTGCATCGCAGTATCGGGCTACAGAAGGGGCCGAATGTTGATAGTAATCGACCATCCTGGGATCTGTCCCGATGCCTTGGCTTTGGCCGTGACCATGGGGGTTGCCTTGGCCGGGGCCGCTGCAGAAGGTAGCACAGGTCGTGGTGTCGTAGACACTGCAGTCGGGATGGAGGCTGTCGTCGGCACAAGACCTGCTAGGCCAGTAGGGGCTGTAGGAGCTGGAGTGACAGCCTTCGTCGGCACAGGACCTGGTAGGCCAGTAGGGGCTGTAGAGGCTGGAGCCCCTGCCACCAATGCATGTACTGGTGCAGGAGGAGATAACGAAGTCGCAGGAGCTCCCGGCAGGGAGAAGGCAGGAACCGGCAGTGGTGGGCCAGCAGGCCTCTGTCCTGACTCACGTCGACTCGGATGGTTGACCGGGGTCGGAGGCGGTGGACCAGCAGGCACTGAGGTGTGCTTCGCCATCGCGATTGCTCGTGTGGTCTCCCCCGAGTCAGAGTCCGGCGAAGGTGGAGACGTCGGTGAGCTGCTCGACGACTTCGGGCATGGCCCGGCTTTGGCTGCTCGGGCGCTTCGCGATCTGGTAGCCACCTTAGCGGCACTGCCTCGGCGTCCCTTAGCCTTGGCCTCCTTGGGCGACATGGTCGATCGCTGTCTACCCAAAAATGATCCTGCTCAAGGCTGCGGTCCAAAAAGGAGGGACATGTAGTCTGTCGGCTCACTCTGGCAGTAACATGTGCAGGCAGAGCATGCAGATTGACTGTCTGAGGGTCAGACCGGTGATCAGGCAGGTCACCCGACGGGGATGGTCGGTCTAGGGTAGGACCAACACTGACAGTTATGAGCCCAAGGGCAATGAGTGCAGTCGCCATCATGCAGCCTACAGCTGTGTTGCGGTTGAGAGCCCAGAGTCTTCTAGAGGAGCATTGACTGTTAGCAATGCAGGGCCTCAGAGTTTCGACCCACATCACGTTCTCTACCTGGCAGAGCCAAGGGGCTTAGTAGCAGTAGCAGTAGCAGTAGCAGTAGCAGTAGCAGTAGTAGTAGTAGTAGTAGTAGTAGTAGTAGTAGTAGTATTCATCATCGTTGGGGGAAGGCAGCCTGTATGAGCTTGATAAACCAAGTTTGAACAGAATTTGATCAGATTGCAACCTATTCTAATGTAGCAATGCCTAATGCGACTTAGCGCCTCGTCATGCTGTGCTTTGTTTACATGTCGTAACATTATCTAGTACGATGAAGCTCTGCTGCAGCTTCCAATATCATAATGTACTGCATCCGTGCATAGTCTCTTACAATCTTATACCACCATACAGTTGAATCCAAACCTAAGGCGTGTTTTATCATGAACAAAACAAAAGCTGCAAGGTTTTGTTTTGATTCATGTGTACAGCCTTCCTGCTCGCATCATCGTTTTTGTTCCTTTCACGCCTTGCAGTGCTGGCCTAACTGTCTGATCCGGATAGCCAAACAAAGCACACCCCTTTGGGATGTGGTCTGTGGAGCATCGATGGTACTGGGCGTGTGGTGATTACACTACATCTGTGTGTACCATCTTATGGCCTGACAGTTCGTGTAGTATAGCTGGATCGAAACCCAAAATGTGTTTATCATAAACACAACGAAAGATGTTGAGCTTTGAGTAGATTGCTAAGTACACCCTTTCTGCTTTTATCATCGCGTCTGATCCGGACAGCAAAACAAAGCGCACCCTCTTGATGGAGCAGCTACAGTACTGAGTACCGGAGGGGGTGGAATCGTTAAAATGGTTGACAACGAACACACGTCTTCAATGCATGATATTCCTGCCTTCATCTTCATTTGGGGGTAGGCAGCCTGTGTGAGTTGCTATACCATGCTAGAATGTAACGTACGAATAACGCAGCGTAACTATTGTAAGGTAACTGAATATTGCCTTATGCTGTATGTTGAAGCATTATACTCCTTAACCGAAGAGAACATAGTCTGATATGAAATAATGAAAGACTACGCAGTAGGATGAGATTAAATCGCCTTGGGTGATGCTGTGCCGAAACTTTGTCATGCGATGGTACATCTGTGGTTGTTATACTATATAGCTACCTTGCATGCAGACACATTTCCGCGTTTAACTCATCATGAACAAAACAAACGCCGTAACATGTCATGCTGATTGTTCTATACAACGAACGGCCGCCCGTCATAAAATGACATAGACGGTACTCGCAGCAGTAATAAATTTGATCATAGCAGTCAGCCCTTCCTTTGTTTGTGCTGTGCTTATTTCATTCTGCTTGATTTCTGTCTAGCTGTCCGTCTAGAAAATCTTTCTTGGTTCTGTAGTTACGCACATGTTACTTTGTGTCGCTCTGCCGTTCCTGCTCTTGTTGTTATTGGTGTTTGCTCTTGAGCGTTTTGCGTGTTTATCTCTGAACGCATAACTTAGTTTCGTCATCTCTTTTTTTCGCTTTCTTGTTGTGTCTGTCGGTCTTTCTTTCGTGCTTTATACAGTTTTTTCTTTCTCTCGTTACTTCGGTCTTTCTTTAGGGTTTCTCTTTCGTTCTGTCCTTCTTTCTTGCCTTCTGCGTGTCGTCTTTTCTTTCTTGTTTTTTTTATGTATGTGTTTTGCTGTTTCTGCTTTCTGGGTTCTCGCTTTCGTTCTTTCTTTCCGATGAGCATTACTACTTTTATGACGTTCTTGTACTGTCACTTCTTCATGTCTGTGTGTCCGTTTTTCTGCTGTTCTGCATTTATTTATGTCGTGATTTCTTCCTGTTTGTGCTTATTTCGCGCATTCTTGCGTCATTTCTTTATGTCTATCCATTTTATTGAAGCGTTATCCACAACTTTCTGTCTATATTTCGTCCGTTCTTCATATGCTTCCTTCACTGGCTTTCGCTAATTCTTCATGTGTCTGTCCCTGTTCCTTTAGTTCGTTTTTGTCTGTCTTTATGTTGTTACGTTTCTTTCTTTCTTTCGTTCCAACCTCCCAAACCTCCCCAAAAATCGTGCAGTCCCGAACCTCCTCCGCGCAAGCCACTCACCCCCCCCCTTCCTCAAGGAAAAACAAGTGCAAAAGAAACCACTGCTAAAACAAACAGAGCCCCAGTTAGAGAGCCTCGTTTGTCAACTGAAAATAAACGAGCGTGATGGAAATCTCCGCGCACGTTACGATCAAGATGACCAGGACCAGCATGAGAAAGCCGAAGAGATAGTAAAACCTGGTTCAGCATGTCTTCATGCATGTCACTGTTCTGAGCCGGATCCCACCGGACCCTTGCTACATCCTGGATCTAGGACTACTTGACCACAACTCAAGGGTGCGACTGGTGCTGCCAGATGGAGGACATGATGAAGAAGAGCTCAGTAAAGACCTCATCCCCAAGGAAGTGTAGTCCAGCTAACTGAGCAGGAATGCGAATGAGTGTGATCCGTCGTGGTACTGGCCCACATGCAGTCTCGGCACACCAGCGAACGGGAGCACGCCGCCGATCAGGCAGGAGAATACCTTGGCATGATCTCTTGATTCGCATGAGGGCACTCGCCATGCGCACAACTTCGAAGCTTCTCACCTACTACATGGGCGATGGGCTTGGAGCTGGGCAACCCCAACGCTTCTGAGTGCTGCTTACACACATTTCTGCCTTGATTGTGCCGCAACCTCCAATTAGGGAGGTGGCCCAGCATGAATAAGAGGCCAATCTGCATGCTATGGTCGTCGGTATATCGGAAGGTGCTGTCCGCATGTGCAACAGCCAGCAGTAAAGAAAAGACATGAAAGCAGTCAGAGATGACCTGGGTGCACACTTCACCCCTGCCAGAGCAGCCAACAAGCAGAGTTTGTAGATGTCATGCGTTTACGGAAAAGCCAGTGTGTCCACCGCTGCCCTGTATGAATTCGGGAATGATCGGATCAAGCTAAGACCGGCACACCAGTGATGTACCAGGGTTGAACAGGGATCTGCCGTGGGATTTGGTTCGTCCGCACGGGCAGCGAGATGGGCGCCTTCCACACACATGTGAGCTGCGCTGCGGTGGACGACACTATCCAAGACAGCACCTGCCTTCTTGTAGCCGAAAAAAGCTCCCAGGAAGACCAAGGGCACGGAAATCCCAAACCTGTCAGATCATCCATCCATGCCGCAGGACAAATTGCTTGACACATCCTTTGCTCGATTGGAATCCGACTTCAATACTGCACGACTGCACTCAACCGTCAGCGGAGGTCACCATAGCACCAGAAGGGCAAACATGGTCGTGAAGGGAACGGCCCCGGACGATCGCGTTCCTGGTCGGGAACCGAGAAGCAATGTACACCAACGGGTCCTCTGGCTAGAAGATGAAAACAGACAACCACAAGCAGCCAGGCAGCCCCATATGAAGAGATCCAGCACAAAGAATATACTGAAGACGGTCCCTGGGTACCTGAGTGCCCCCGTCTCTTTGGCTTTTGCCGGGCTCGCTCTCTGCTCTCTTCGAAGACAAAAAAGTCTAGGAAGGCCGTGAGAAAGGTGTGAGGTACGGTGTTCTGCATACTTTAACCCTATGTTTGTGGCATGCCTGAATCGAAAGCAGAAACAAATCGTGAGCACGAGCAACCACACCCGAGCTTGCATAGGATATTGCGCGATCGGAAGACCCCTCAACCCCGCGAGAAATCAGGAGTCGCACACCCGCGCGTTCCATCTCGTGTCGGCTGTGCCCGCTGCCCCACCCACCCCCACCACCGCACAACCACCACAACCACAGCAACCACAACAATCAAAACAATCGCAACAACCACCATGTTATAAATAAAATGTATTCCCTGCCTGGTCATCAACTTCAGCCGTTTATCGTCTAGCATGGCACCTTACTCTAGACGGCGACTGTGTGTGGTGCGAGACCCTTCGGGCGCTTTGGTAGGTCTGGCCGCACTGTGCGAGGTCGTCCATGGCACCCCCCCGTTGGCGGCGGCTTCGAGGGAAGTGGGACGGCATCGCGGCCGGTTTCCCCCCTCGCTCTCTAGCACTGCTATCGCACATGTTGTTTGCACATGTTTTATGTATGAAGGGTGTCTTTAAAGGGGGGGTCATAGGGGGGGGGGGTCGGAACAATCAAATCTTTAGTTACTCAGGAGGGGGGACGTCATTATTCCGGGAATAATTTTCGGCAACCCGGGTCTGCAACCCCGGGCCCGGAGGAATTTGATGCTTTAAGGATCCGAAAACTGGGACGAGCTTTTACACTTGTCCATGAAAGGAAGTCGCGACGTCTGCTTTGCTTGCAGTGTTTGGGTCGGGAGTTTCATGCAGTTCATCCCGAAACCCCAAAGCCATAATCCATAAATCTTAACCGAGACACCTACAAACCCTAAACGCCATATCCAGAAACTCCAAACCCAAAAAAGCTGGACCCAGAAGCCCTGAACCCCTAAACCCCAAACCCGGAAACCCCACGCCCAGAAACCTTGAATACCCTCAAAAACCCCGAACCGAGGAAACTTGGACGCAGAAACCAACTCGTAAATCGCAACATTTTACCGCTAGCAATGGTCTACGTTCGGTGTGCCCCATGCAAGCGGGTCGGACAAAGTGCAGCCCCCTTTGCCCGATGGCTGAAATCCGCAATAGATCCCGGCCGGCTGCCGGGACCGGATAGGACTGGAAGCCGCCACACGAATAGAAACTGCGGATCTGTATTCGGGTAACCGGTCGGACCAAGTAAGCCGGAACCGGCTACCGGGAAAGACTTCGATGGGTGCACAGCCAATGGTAGACACTAGAACCAGGTGATGGAGTACCCGGTCCGGGGAACACCCAGCCAAAGTCAGAAGTCCAGAGCCGGGAAAAGGGTTCCAATATGAGCCTCGGCGGGGAAGTACCGCGGACGAGTAGCCGGATCAGCGGAGCGGCTCAGACTATCCGCGATGGTGTTCCGAAATCCAGGAACATGGTATATGCAACTGGAGATGGAGATGCAACAGTGCCTCTGCCACAGAAACGCATCGGACGGACCATGTCGCAGCGGCTGACAAAATGGATCGGATGGTGTGCAGCCGGAATAAGAAGCGCAACACACCACAGCAATGCCAGCTGACCGAACAACTCCCAGGTGGCAAAAAACTTCTGCGATGAGGCGTCGGCAGGAAACCAAGGAAACAGCTCCCAGAGGTCAGCCGGAGAGAGAGTGACACGGAACCAAACGGTGCGGCCGGAGGGAGCAGTCACGAAGCCGGCGGGAAAGTATGCCGGCGAGGCGGGACCAGTAAAATCCGGAAGCACGCGCTCCGAAGCTGAGCATCAAGCATTGATAGAGCTTGCCGCGATGGAAAAAAACATAAAAGTTCACGGTCGGAGGCCCGGATAAGTATGCGGCGGTGCGCTTTGCTGACATCAAGAATGAGAGCAAATAGTGCTTCCAGAGCCGGCCGAGTCGGAATGCAACGACGGATGCCGGAAATGGTCGGGTTGGCGGACCGGTTTGGTAAGGCGGTGTGAGCCATAACTGCCGAAACGCTGGGCTCCACAACAAGTCGGGGGTCAGTCCGGGGCTTTCACCAAGCCAAGCTTACCGACGGCCGAGGTCCGGTATCGAGATTTCAGTGTGGCAAGACCACCGGGGACCTCGCAAACCCATTCTTCATCAATCTCGCGTTGAAGGAGAGAGTCCACCGTCGCCGTGTCGGACAGAGCGGAGCCCCAAGATGAGTCACAGTGTTTCACGTCCACATCAGGTTCTTTAGGCGGCGGGGCGAGGAAGAGTGTGGGACAGGACGGCATGGGCTCATCCACACCCAGCGGTACACCTGCAACAAGCATATCCACAAAAGAGGCATCAGGGCCTTTGCAAAGCTTGAGAAGTGCCTCCAGCACGAAGAGGCGAAAGGGCTGGCCGGGCGGGACCGTAAGAAACGTCTGACTTAAGGTCGGTTTCCGAAAGCTGCAAGAAAGCGCGAAGGTCCTGGAGGAACGGAGCTAAGGCCTCATCGGAGATCGGGGGCGGCTTGGCTCCGAAGCCAAGTTGGCCCGGAAACGAGGGAGGAAGTCACTGGAGGTGATCCGCAATCCAAGCTTTGCGCAGAAGTCCAAAGGTGGCGGGCCACGATGCCGTGGAACAGGATCCCCTCCATCCTTGACCCGGGCAGATGGTACGGGCCAGGTCAGGCTCCAGTAGCTGTTGCTTCCAGGACAGAAGCGATCTGGAGTCAGACGCGCTGCCGTTGCGCCATAGCCCCAATGGTGCGATTGCAAGAGATCCCGACAAACAAATTCTCGCAGACCCCCAAAATGTCGACGGCCTTGCCACATGGATTCTTCAGGAAGCGTTCCAGAAGACACCCTGGCAAGCCGGCTATAGCTCAGTTGGTAGAGCATCTGACCGTAGTCCGATAGAAACGGGCAGATCAGCCGCGCAATGTGCCCGCACAAATCAGCAGGGTAGCACGCAGTGGCACGGGTGAGGAACTGGCCAGATGCATACCGACGTCCGGAAAGGCCAGGTGTCGGCAAACGGATGCAATGCAGAACAGGTCGGAGAGGTTAGATACAAAAGTCCAGCATTAGTTCCATAGGTGCACGCGGCCACACCTCAACCTCGGAGAGGCGGTGGCGGCGGATCCATGCGACGCACGGGTCGGTCAGCCAAAGCAGGTTGCTGGACGGGTTCTGCAAAACAACTATTCCACTGGACAGGAGCGCGTCAAAAGCAATTCGCAAGCAAAGTCGTGGAGTTGATCGGCTGTATCCAGGTCACGCTGCTGTTTGAGAGACGGCTTGGGAATTCCACCTGGATGCTCTGGGGCGCACGACCCGCCTCTACCTCCACCTTCTGACCCACCTGGCCTGTTCCTGGATTGACAACGGGCATCAGCCTGAAGGGCATCAGATGAAGAGTGCACCGACAGGGCCTCAGCTGCCCACACGGCAACGGAGTGCACTGGCGAAAGCGGAGCGGGGCTCATTTCAGTGCGCCGTGGATTTGCGCTTTGCCGCCGTGTGCTTCTGCCCACAAATTTTCCTGCACAGATGCGGGGTCCGACAGGAGTGGGAAAAGCGGCAGCTTGCAAGCTTACAGCGGCCGAGGACCAAGCGCTTGCAGATCTCTTTTCCGTCGGCGTCCACGGCTTGCCAGGATTCGTCCCAGAGCTCGGACACGGGCTTCTTTCCACCTTGGCCATTCCGATAGGCGGATCCTGGCGTGGCTTTTTGGGAGGGCGCTCCGGGCAGAAGTTGGGCCGGTCCGCACGTCCCACTTGGAGTTTGACTTGGGTTGGGCAGGCGGTTCATCGTTAGAGGCAGAGGCTGCCGAGCGCTCAGAATCGTCAGGCATGATATCGGGACCCCGCGGCACGGAGAGTGGGATCTGGAAGATTCAGCGAGAGGGTCGCCCCCCATCGTGCGGTCCGGGCCGGCAGGGAAAGCCGGAAGTCCTGAAGCGGCTTGCTAGATCCGCGGCAGTGGCGGGGTTTCGGAGCACCCAGGAAGTTGGCGCCAGTCGTTGGGGCCGACACGGCGTTGCCTTGCCCATCACCAGTGCCATCTTGGCCAGCCGCGGCAGGGCGTCCGGAGGCGGAGCACCATCCGCTCCGGCCTGGGCCGGGAGGTCGCAGCATCGCAGCCTGATTCGCGTCATTAGTGGTGCCGGGACGGACACCAGCGGCATCGCCAACGAGGCCCCGAAAGGAAAAGCTCGCTGAAGAAGTCATGCCAACCAGCCTGCAACTAAGCAAGAACGGAAAAAACTGCAAGCAGGCCTGGGTGGCCACGGCTGAGCAGAGCGAGCAGCACCGAAAGAAGAAACACAAAGCCAGGCTCCCTTCAAAGGGGAGCAGGGCCTCGCCCTACAGGCCCAGATCGGGGAACAGGCAGAAGATAACAACAGGGGGCGATCCTTCGTACAGAAGGACTGCGGGGTCGCCGTCGCATGACGGAGAGAAAATTCCAAATGCACGAGCAAGGGCAGCGATGGTCGGGCCTGGCGGACACATGGGAGCGGGAACTGGAGGAGGACCTCGACCGTACAGATCCTCGCCGCCTACGGCGACGAGGCGGAAAACGGGACGAGTCAGAAGACCTCCGAGGCATCAAGTCGTGACAGCCTAAATAAATCCCTAGTGCACACCGTCAGGTTCGGACCGGCAGCACTTAAGTCTCAAGTCGAACGGCTGCGGCGGATGCGACTTGCCGTTGCGAGCTGGCGGAAAAACACATTACGACAATTCGAGAAACCACCCAGAAACCTTGAACGGGGAACCCTACACCCAGAAACCCCACACTCAGAAACCCCCTTAAACTTAAACCCTGAAATCCCTGAACCTACAAACCCCAAATCCAGAAACCCGAGACCTAGAAACCCCTAACCCATAAACGTAAAAACCATTGACCCAGAAACCCTGAACCCCTCAAACCCAAATCCGGAAACCGCAAGCCCAGAAACCCTGAGCTCGCAAGCCCGGAAATCTCAAACCCATCAAGCCTGGAACCCAAAGCAAACGGGGTCCGGTCCGGACCTGGGTTGCCGCTTTCCGGACCCGGATTGCAAAATGACGGGTGTTGATGATGATTCCGCACCCCCCCTCCACGTCCTCTTGAAAACCTAATATTACACGATAAAGATTCCGAGACGTCAACCCTGTTCTGGAATGATTGTTTAATACACAGTACTGACGTTACCATTACTCTTGCTGTTGCTAATCGCAATCATACTGACACCAAGTCACCCCACCCCTCCAGCGACGCTCGCACCGTTCAAACACTGCATGCATGTGCAAAGCATCCCATGTAATCGGATGTTGCTGTTGCATCTTGCTGTATTTCTCGACATGCTGTCTGGAAGTAAAGGCATGCAGCTGCCAGTGCTGAGTAGCCCGCAACAAAGCTGTGAGGAGGGTCGTCTTCTTCCAGTCCTGGGAGAAACGCAGACTGCAGCTGCAGATTTCCGATATGCGTATATGTTTAAAAATGCATACAGCCCTTTCCTCGCCCTTCCACATCTTGTAGAAGCGAGCCGAAGTGTAACCTGCAAGACGGAACACACGGCATGCACAAATCTTTCTGGATCTTTCAGTCTCCAGACTAGCTCTCTTGCTCACAACAAATCTAGCCTGCCAGTATACCAGCGAAGGTGAAAAGCAGCAACATCCCCTGCCAAGATGAAACCAGGAAGAACCAGGAGCAGGGTTTGACGAGAGTTGCAGATATCGGCATTTTTCACCGCACCGCACCTGGAGGATGGAGCCACGATGAACAGGTGACAAGAAACCCACAGCTGAGAAGACCAGTGTCACGCAAGAGCAAACCAGGAGCTGGACCTCGGACTCGGCGAAAGCAAGCCAACCAAAACCAGCAGTCTCCAAGCGTTCGACGCCCGAGCCGACGGACACAGCTAGTGCCTCGATAACACAACCCGCTCAAAACGAAAGATCAGATAAACTTGTCGTGCCTTCGAGTGAGGCGGCTTTCTGAACACATCTCCATGAACCAGCTTCCAACCAGTCTCCTGGCAACGTAATACCAGAAGAGATCCATGAGCAGTCTTGTTGGACCAATGTCTGGAAAATCCTCGCCCTGGTCGTCGGCTTCCATGTCGTTGTATTTGGCTATGTCACCTCACGCTGCCATATGAGCCAAGGCCCCGTGAAACACGGCCTGTAAGGCTAATAAATGACGCCCCCTTTCGACTGCATGTACTGCATGTGCATCACTAAAACTGCCACCCAGAGGCGATGAAGTGTCCTCAACAGTATCATGGCCACCATGCCAGAAAGGAAGAGAACCTGCGGAAAAAACAGTGCAAGGGGGATTCGATCCGATTCGAAACACTGCCAAGAATTTCCGAGCAACTATCATCAGAGAGTTGATGATGGAGAACCTGCACAACCCGTGCAACGGTCTACAATTCCACAATTGCTGAGGCAAAGCTGTCATGCTACCATACCACAAACCCAGCTTTCTGACAATCGACATTTGTCATGCTGAGGCCATGGCCAATGAATCTGACCCTCATGCATCTTCCTGTTGTTTTGCCAACATGGTTTGTATGATTTATCTGTGTTCCGAAGACTGGCTACTAGCGCGACTGAGGCACAGGTAGCTGTCCCATCGCGATGCCCAACGAATTGGACTCGGAATCCAAACCTTCAACAAAGGAGTCCGCTGGCCAGGCCACCCTCCGAGAGGCGTCGCGAAATCTCAGCTACGGGCAACATCATAGCTGTAGATGACGCTAACCTCCTTTGTCAAGTCCTCATGTGCATTCATCTGCCGAGACTTCAAGGTGATGATATGACTGGGATAAGCAATCCAGACTATTAAATTCCTGATCTACCCGAGAGTGGCACGAAGCGTGGAACGGGATCATCCAAGTCACCACAAGTCAGTTTACCATCTCCCCTGCCGAAGAACATTCGTCGACAAGGCCATTCCGGACACGGCAAGATGAACAAAGAATGACCGCCATGAGCCTCTTCTCTTGCTGCAGACTCAATGGAAATACCTGGGAAAAATCCACTGATGTCCATTAGCGTGGCCACTAGCAGCGAGCCTCAAATCCAACGACCCTGCTGCCCTCAAACTCTTCAGAGTTGGAGTGGTAGTACAACCTGGGACCATGCAAAGTTTTCGCAATCCGTTGGTTGTCCCTCGAGTGTCTGGCCCGATCTGGACGTGGTTGTGGACGAAATAGCTGGCAGTGGCAGTGGCATTTCAGCAGACATGCTCACACAGCTGACGCAGTCCGCCGTCGGCCTGCCATCGACCTTCAGCCCAACAGGAAAGCCGTTGGTGTACCTCTGTCACACTTCCACAGCAAGTCAAGCTTGCCAAAAAAAATGAAAAATCAAAGGCACGACGTGGCGCCGGTGCTCGTCTTCTGGTACTTCATGGTCTCAGGTCGTCGAATATGTATGCACTGATCTGGCTGTGCACTAGCATATGCTGAGGTAACAGCACCAGGTAAGTTGTCCACTAGCCAGTTCACCTCAAGGCAGGAAAACAGGTTCGGGTTGAGAGAGGCTGCAACACTTGTGGCAAGTCAGGCCTGGTACTCATGATCGATCATGCGCTTGAATGCGCCTTTTTCCTGACAGTTTTCTGCCACACATCAAGTTGCATTGCAAGCATGACTGAGAGGAGGATGTTCGCGGCTTCGTTAACATGCACTGCCCCTCCTCTTCGCCCAGCATCTTTTCACAAAGCATTGCACACGAGACGTTGACCTTCATCCTGCATCCACTGCGGGAGCATTGTGTCAGACACACGCTGAAGATCTTCATACTTGGGTCAACTGTGTAAAATTTCTGAGGTGGGATGCTCTGGACAGTGCCCGCCTCACGTCATAGAGTGAGTTCTCAATTGAATCACCGAGCAGGATTTCGCCCAAATTCTCTGCAGCCACATGGATTTCCTTTCAGGGACAGCATTTCGGTGCTGCTTCATGCTGTCCTAAAGTCGGGAACTGCGGCCTTGGGAATACAGTACGGAAGCACCTCATCAGGTCAAGCCACCTTACTTCCTGGTGCGTGAGGCTCGGACAAGCCGCACAATAAGCTTGCCGCGTAGTATCTGTACGGAAGCTGGGTCTTAACCTTAAGTTCACAACATGCTACAACTGAACCCGCAGCAAATCTTGGCAGTCTTAGCTCAGTCCGGGACCGACGTCAGCTTGTTCACTTTGAGATCTACGCGATCCCCCTGGGCTGGGACACCAGGCACGTGACAGGATCCCAGTCGGGCGCCGGCTGACATTTCAAAACAATCCCGTAGAACGAGCTTCAGTTTTGCAGAGGCTCGGATCCGATGCAGCGAAAACTCTCTACGTAGTCAACAGAAGTCGGAATCAAAACGGCCCATATCCCCTATAGCTACGGATAGTCTACTACCATTACTCTTGCTACTGATACTCCTGTGACTACTCAATACTACCAGCCAGAAAACCACGTCCGAGAGGTGTGCTCTTCCGACCCTGCCCAAACCCAGCCTTCGAAATTTCTCCCAGAAACATGTGTGCTGCTGAGATGCATCCAAATATTCGGTTGGAGCCACTCCAGGTAGGTAAAAGCCTTGCGCCTCCGCAACTCTTTGAAGCCTACCGCCCTGCCACACAGGCTGACACGGGCTGACTGTCCTGTAACGCAACTGACAGAAGGAGCCACCGAGCCATTGCTCAAGTTTCCGAATTACTGGGTCTCATCATATGTCTCATCTGATGTGTTGGGCTTTGGGACCCAAACACCGACAGTCACATGCGTTCAAGATGTTCAAGGCGGCTGGGAATCAAAGAGCCCCAAATCAGCAACCTTCCTCCTAGTCAGTCTGCGCATCTGGTACATGCAGGCATGTCTGGGGAAGGCTGAAACCTCTTGATCAACATCCCTCTCGTACATGAACGCACTTTGCGACGTGAGAAACTGCTGCTCTGGTTCACTGCGTGCCTAATCTGAAATGAAAAGCACGTCTGCGATGCACAAGGCCTTTGTCCTGATGCGGCGTAACAAACAATATTACTGAAGTGTAATAGAAAAATTCCACCGGCATTTTCCAGTGATATATCATCTCGAGGCGAACATGTCAAAGACAATGTCTAGATTGAACAGAACCGTGTCACAGAAGCAGCTGAGCGCTCCGTCACCATACGGAATTTGATGAAGCTGGCTTGTCGATTCGCTGCACCTTCAATATTTCCTGTATACATACGGTCGAAGTACTTCGATAGGGCAAAAGTACAGCCAGCCCCGTTTCCAAAGGCTTGAAAATGAGCCCGGGCAGCACCTGACTCTACCAGTTTCCTATACTCGCAAATCGCTGCTGCCAGAAGCGAAAGGTTCTCACTGACTCGTAAACTCATCGACAGTCTACAAGTTCACTTTCCTCTTCTGGCCTACCGACGTACATTATCCAAGGTTGGGAACCAAGAAAGGTGAAACCGGGTCTTAGTGTGTGCTGCTTGGTGCTTCTGAGACTTTTGCTCGCGCACAAATCACACGAATGCCCGAGGGTCCTTTGCACTGTCCTCGATAAAACACGAAGCAGAGCCAGTAGCTACAGGTGACCAGTGGCAACACGTCGGATTGACGAGGTAGGTGGACGGGTTATTGCCCTCAAGGTACCGAATCCAGCGCCCCGAACAAAAGGGGTCAGCTGTACTGGAACAGTCACGCAGGTTTTCAGTTCAAAGGCAGTCCTAATGCTGAAAATGTGGCACTAGGGCTTGCCCCAAGGGTCAGCGACGCTGATTCTTGGAACAACTTAGGACTTAGGCATTCCTACACACCGAAAGCATTTGCTGTCTTGGGGCTCGCCGAAGTATGCCTCCTCCCAGAGCGTCATGTTACAACCGGTTTCTGGAGGATAGCGGTGAAACTGAGTTTCTTAACTTCGGCTGGTGTCAACACGGCCAGTGTTTGCTGCCCTGGCCGCATCCTTCTCACCTGGCACGGCGCAAGGCATGGTGCCTCAAGCATGATCATCGGGGAGCCCCTCTTAGATCAAACGCTTTGGGTCTGGACAGATGCCAACCCCGTAAAATAGCTCACACAGGGCTGGATGTGTCGCCCCGAGAAGCTTAACAAAAGCCAGAGCCGCACCAATGATGACAAATTCAGAACTTCCCCTGTCTGCTCTTTGGCCTCTCAACAAAAGCACTGGGATCGCCCTGACCAGCAGTTCGGCCCAAAACTTTGCAGCCTTGGGAGTTATGACGCCCAAGCGCATCATCGCAACCTGAGGATGAAAAGATCGTAACAGCATGCTCTTTTTGACATCTGGCGGCCCGCCTTTGCTTTCTTTCTTGCTTTCAACTCGCCTTTTGGGCAAGCAACTTTCAGGCAAAACCACCTCATACACAGGAACTCCATCGCAGTCCTTCAGGGCATAAATGGCAATAGCTGCAGTTCTCCTGAATGCTCGAACGTGGGAGATGGAGACTCGGATCCCAGCTCACAAAAACACTTGCCTTGTTTTGGCAGCTGCCAGGCTTCCAGTACCATCTCAGCAAGATCATGTCCAAGAGTTGGAGGTTGTGAGGCTGTGAGGTTTTGCGTGCTGGCAAGCAAGAGTGCTTTGCACTTCATCCTCTGAGCAGGGGACGCGCATGGACGGCATGCACCTTGCCCAACTTGCAAGCAACGCAACTTGAGAGTTGCGGTGACACGTGCGCCTGTTCCATGCAAGGCTGAGCCCTGGCTGATGTAGTCCGGAGGAGTCGCCGCGAGGGCAACCTGTTGGGTTCATCAGACACAGTCCCCCAATCTGCCTGTCTGCAATCAAGCAGGAAACTGGATGTTCTGCCATGGTTGCAACCGCGTAAAGGTCGCATCGGGGCGCACAACTCTCCGTCAAGCACAGACGACACAGGTATGCCGCGGTATGCCGAAGGCGTCATCTAAACAAGGAAGAGATAGACAACGTTACTACATGGATGGCCTCAAACTGCTCATCTGCGTAGGGTGAGTCCATCCTCGCAGAAGACATTCACATGTTCGAGACGAAGATGAGGGCAGAGCGATGCGAGCACCAGGCTTGGGTGAGAACCAGGGCTCCCAAGAGTCGGTCATTGGGGAATTCCAGACCTGATGCATGAACCGGAGAAAGATCACATCATTGCAGCACTGACAGAACGATTCCCCCTTCTTCCCTTCTTGCAGCCGGCGACGTCTGGAAACCACTCAGCACCCGGGGCGAAATTGAAAATCCAGTCCTCTCAGCACGTCTGACCCTGACAAGCATGCAGTCATACCATTGTAATGAATAAAGTGACAGAAACTCAAACAAAACGCAATCACAAACACAACAAAGAATACAACAAGCCACAAAAGTTCCTGCGATGGCTCCGGCAAGCTGTCCGCCGGAGTTGGAGACTGCTCTCGTGGCTCCTCCAACTCCTCGTCTTCGTCATACCTGTCCGTGCACTTGCACAGGTCACGTCTGAAGAGACAAGACGTTTCGTGGGAGCGCACTGTGCCATTTGCAAAAAGGAATGGTCAAGGCCTCGCAGGGACGTTTGAAGCTGTCTTGACATCATAACTACTCGGGCAGCATGCACTGGGTGTGCGACGAAGCTTCACCGGTAGTTCCAAGTCGACGGGCTCAGCCATCGTTGAACGTGCACCGACGCATCCAAATGTCCGCAAACGAACCGCTCAAACTCGCATCAGGACGGAGCTGTGGTTGGCGAGAGCGTTGGGCTTCCACCAACTTTGGCTTCTGGCGACGATGCGTACGCCTCGGCACGCAGGCAAAACTTGTGAAGCAGTCTTAGCACCTTCCCCCACAAAGTCCACTGAAGCTTTGTTGCGACCGATGGAATGATTCTGAGTGACTTACTTCAACTTTGACGGGCTCGCCACCCAGCACCTCCATACTTTCTGGGCTTTGGCCTGCCTTCAATGTCCCAGGAGAAACAGCGAGCAAACTCAACGAAATGTCGGAAGCTTTCCAAGCAAGAGCATGCAGACACAAGCTTTGGACGGAAGGCATGAAAGGCCCCGTCCAGTTCATGCTTGGGGTTGTAGCAGAAGCTTCGTGTGTTTCGACGGGGTGCTGCGGATGGTTGGTCTAGCTTACCTTGGTTCGTGCATCGGCCCGCTGGCGAGGTCCCTTAATTCGTGGTGACTTCTAGCGTACAATCAGGCTGTGCTGGAGGGACGGGTTCCAAGCGGACCTGTTTATTCGTGATTCACACCGAGACAACGACACTGATTTATCTTGGCCACACATCTTTATGGCATCTGTTTCCGATCCAATGCATGACTCTTCAATGTCTTCAGGAGCAGATCCTGTTAGAGGGCAAACTTTAGCTGCAGTGTTCTCTAATGTTCACAGGTAAGTCCTTCTCCCTTCGATCTTCAAACCTGCCAGTGAAGCCTTCATTGGTAACTTCCTTTGACCTACCGGCAAAAGAAATACAAGCTGTCTAACTCATGCCCTTGCATTGGGCAGCTGCTTGCGATCGTGTCTCAACATGTCGCTCCAATAATCATCCACGGAGCGTGAATCCTTTGGCCCGTGACAAACGTGTGTTGAACCGTCGGCACTCAACGTGGCAACTCTGGTCCTTCTTGCGCCATATTGACCTGCTTCACAAAGCGCTGCCTTTGTTTTGATAAGTCGGCCGAGGTATAAAATGTCCTTGTCACTGGAGCATCCTTGAGCTACTCACGTGATCTTAGACGGCTACCTCGCTTGAGCTCCGCTCCAACACGAAACACTCTTCAGGCTAATGGACTCTAAAAGAGAGCACCGACAGGCCTCCATCTCATTCATCACGCATCAGCCTTACGAAGCTTTTTTTCGTGATGGCACAAGTCGGGTCGAGGCAAGAACATTGGAAACCTCCTTCCAACCCCCGACATCAAATTGCGGTCTTTACGTTGACGGCAATAGATGAAGCGAAAACAAGTCATTCAGATTGTGAAGGCAGAACACATGTGTTGTCCGCAGGAGCTCACGTCATACACAGCACATCTGTCAGGCTGAGTCTGGGGATCAGACTGAGATTGTTCTACAGCAGGCAAGTTATGGAGCACCCTGTTGGAGCCGATGGTCAACCGTGCAGCCGTGCATGTGACTTTGCTCCATTTTTGCTTTGCCGATGTCAAGATGGAGCTGCGAGCCAGCAAAGTGCAAGCAGAGCAAGCATGCTTGGTGAAGAATTGGAATACACTTTTTCCACCGCTGCTGTGGTGTCCGCTTGTTGAGCATGTCCAACCGAACCAATGGCAGCCTGAAGCGAAGTTCGGAGACGCAGATCCCTGCCGAAGCAAAAACAAGAACAAGAACGACTGGCCTGTGGGTCGGCCGGCACGGCTGGCTTGCGGTCTGGCGGAGATTGAGGTTCAACTTAAAAAATGATAGCCGGAAGACGGAGCACGACTCAGCGGCCCGAACGGAATTGCATTAACGTGTTGAAAAAAGCGGAGTGCTGTACCTCGTATGACCAAATCACGGCCATCCAGACATCCCAATCCTGACAAGCCAAGTGGAAGGTTTCTCCATCAAGCCAAAGCTCTTGCAGAAGACAGAAAAACAAAACCGCTAAGGGCACCAGCAAAAACCCGCACGACAGCACATTGCAACTGTCTAAGAGTTTCCGAAAGTCTCCGAGTTTTGGAACAAGCAAGATGGGTGGGCAGCGAAGTTAGACGGAACAACATACCCGAGCCAGCACACTCACAATACCAGCCGTCCCATCTACTGTGGAATCAGCAGAACCACTGCAGCAGCTTCACTGGATACCGCCAGTATTGGGAGTACCACGCTTCACGGCTTGCCGATGATTCGACTGGTACGATACGTTCGACGGTTTGCGGTTGGGGATTTTGCAAGTTGTATGTGCAGAATGTATCTATGTATATACATATGAACTTGCTTTCGGTAGGTAGTGCGTGTTTGATCGGACAAAGCGCAAGTGACAATACATGCTGTCCTCCACTTGCTGCGTGCATATGCCATAAATGCATACCTTCGCATATCACTCGACGGAAACCGAGGGAGTGATTGCCTCTGAGATCTGCATGAGCTTGCTTGGCTGCATCCTGCGTGGGCAAAAACTGAGCCATGGCTTGGTGTACGTCGTATGGATACACAAAACTAAGACTCCTGCAACATATTACAGTTCATGCACCGTGTGTACCTCGGAGGGAAAGCTGCTGAACTCGCCTGCCACGCACTTTGGCCTGACAGCATCATCTTGCAAGATCCGACGTTGAAGTTCGAGGAGGCTGGGCATCCGGCTTCCACACGCCCTTGCACCGCAAGCTCGTGCAGTTGCATCTGGCACCAATCGCGACCTGAAATCTTCTTCGACCCCATCACAAATCTGCTTTCTGAAGTACTAGCAGTCAAACGAGGCTGAAATTGGCGATTCTGTATTCAAAATCAGGAAGCACTTCGGCCGAGTTGCGTGACTTAAACGGGAGAAAGCATTGCATTGCAGCGGCCCAAAAATCAGCACGAGCTCATCTGTGGTGTGTGGAACGGTAGCACGACGCAGAGTCTCGAGATTCGTTTTTTTCGAATATCCCTGCAAGGGTAAGCTTTGCATACGATCGGAACCTTTCAGAGCAAGAGGCTCAACATGTGCGATTTTTGATGACTGTATCTTGATACAGAAGTACTACGAGTTCATGCCATTTCGTATGCAACTGCTACGACCCGCAAACAAGTCAAGCTCCAGCGACTTGCGAAACTGCCTGCTGCCTGAGACATCCTGAGCCCTTCGCAACTGCAGTGAATTGATCAACGCCAAGCTGGACGACCAAGCCGCAGCTTTCTTGCCTGGTTTGAAAGCACGTCAGTTCGGGGAAAGATGAAGCAGAGATGTACAGAGACAGCGACAGCCGAAAAGGATCGTCTCGAAGCAGCCGAGGTTGGGCCGCTCCTGCTGGAAACTGGAAGGAAACGCACTTCTCAACGCTCAAAGCAAGCGCCCCACGGCCCACGGCGGGGCGCGCCTGCTTTCGCGCATGTCCGTGCTGCAAGGAAAGGGCCAAAGCTGCACGCCACAGAACCGCAGAGACCTGTCTTCTTTGGCGAGGGCATCCTTGCTTATCCATGCAAAGGCATGCAGAGGAAGGCAATCTCAGCTTGACCGAATCATTCCTGTACCATTCTGCACACCCTTCAATCGTGCGACAGCCTCAAAGATTTCTTCAGAGACTTCGCGAGTATCCATTAATTGCACTTACTCAATGGCTCACGTTCTTCAACGTGAGAATCGAAGTGTCGAAGTGTCCAAATGGAAGCGACATCGACTAACTTCACGAGCCATTGCATCTGACCTTCAAAAGAAGCAGGCCAAGCCACGCATGCGCTCATGCAGGCATTGAGCAGCACCACGGATTGGAAGACGCCTCTTTCGCGAATCGGCATGGCAACTCTTGCAAAAACAAAAAGGCGCACAGTGCAACTTTCAATCCAAACACGTGCCTGCAATGCTCGCATGGATTGCATAACCTGTTGGGTAGCCATGTTCAGAGATGCAGCATCCAAAGAACACACGCACGTACACTCCCTCGAACGTTCTGTGGTGGCACCTAGAGCTTCTCGCCACTTCACAGCTACATCCATGGCTGACATTGCTGCCTCAGGCGCGGGGACCAGTCAAGTGTGAACCTGATCCTGAAAGCAAGGCTCGAGCGCCAAAAGAAACTTGATCAGCTTCCAGGAAACCACTCTTTAGTTTCGAGAAAACCTGCGCAAACTCACAGGATACATTGCCGCAACATTCGGCACATCACTCTTCACCTGCACATGAGCTGCCCCATGTGGGAAGCCTCATGTGACAAATGCCAGCGCCCATCCATTCCTGCCAACGGCTATCAGGACATCATCCGTGGCCCTAGCTACGGCTGGACCAAGATTTTCCGACCCCGCCTGCACCATCGATGTAGGTGTTGTAGGTAACCAAATCCGGAACGCAGCGCCTGGCACCAACTAGCGCCGTGTCTTCCAAGGACATCACTGTGGAGTTTGAGCCTGCAGGCGACATACTGCAGCAAGGACTGCCTTAGCAACAGTAACAGCGGAGACTTGCCACAGAATCAGCAAAAACAGGATAACTTTTCAAGGCTCGGGCGCACTATGCCAGTGGTAGAGTCGACCAAGGCTGTAAATCGCAGAGTTCACTGCCGGCATTGCCCAGGTCCCTCCACGCAAAGCCCATCTCTGCAGGACGAGCCTCCAAGCACCTTCCGTGGCGCATGCGGGCTGAAGCCAATATTCTGAAGGCACCCCCGCCTGCCCCTGATCCAATGGCACCAACTAAAGACATGTCTGCGACATGGTCTGCTTCAACGGCTGCATCCCGCCTTGCAAATGATGACACAGAATGAACATAACGAAGCAGAGCGGACCGGGGATCCTGCATGGACTGCATGATCATCATGGCGACGATCCACAGCCTCGCACCGCGAATCCCGGATTGGTTGTATAATAACCCCGTATTAATATCCTTACCCCTGAATCACTGAACGTCGTTATCGTTCTTTGTTCTTCTTATCGTGCTTCCATGAAAACTGCGTTATCGTTTTGTTGTCGTTTTGTTTCTTCTTATCGTTTTACCATAGAAAACCAACAAGGACATGCCAAGACAAAATCTAAAGGCGCAGGGTTATTATACATCTGGGATGTGAACACTGGATGCGGTTGCATCACTTGGTCGGGTGCTTGCTCGAAAATCAGAAACTGAAACTCCCAGAAAACCTACGAAGCATCTCGACAAAAAGCTGAAACCAATGGCCTGGGGAAGTGAAACCTTAAAAGATTGGAAAGGCAACAACTACCAGCTTTGAGACAGGTGGCCCAGCAACGTCCAAACCTGCTAAGATCGCACCTCGCCAGCTATCATTTCACCACCCTCCGCGATCACAGCAAGATGCAGGCCCCGACCATATGACACCAGGTCTGGGGCGAGGCGATTCCGGCCACTGCGCACGACCTTAGCAGCCCGCTCCTGCAACATCTGCCCGGGATGGCGT